TATATAAATACCTATACAAAACAAACATTAAGGAAATATATAAGAACAATCCTTTGTTGCGATAATAACTTAAAAACAGAAATTCAATGTGGAATAAATGGAATTGTAATTAAATGGCAATGGAACATGTTTCAGATGAATTCTCTATCGTTCGTTAATATATTTTTCCCCTATTATGAATAAATGCTCGCTTATCGGACTTGTCGCTCAATCAGAGCTACATTCAACATCATGAATTATAGTACCTTCAGGAAATGCTGTACATATGTACACATATAAATACCTATACAAAACAAACATTAAGGAAATATATAAGAACAATCCTTTGTTGCGATAATAACTTAAAAACAGAAATTCAATGTGGAATAAGTGGAATTTCAATTAAATGAGAATGGAACATGTTTCATTTGAATTTTCTATCGTTCGTTTATATATTTTTTCCCGTATATGAATAAATGCTCGCTTATCGGACTTGTCGCTCAGTCAGAGCTACATTCAGCATCTCTATATAGTACTTACAAGTAACTCTATATATATATCTGGCTACCCAAAATAAACATTAAGAACTGGAATGTTTTGTTGTTATTTTGTGGGGGACAGAGCTGCTTTTTGAAACATATATTTCTTCCCTAAATATAAATGCTTGCTTATCGGACTTGGACAAAGGTTGTCGCTCAATCAGAGCTACATTCAACATCTCTAAATAGTAACTACAAGTAATACTATATATATGCATATATATCTTCCTACACATAATAAACATTCATCAGCAAAGTCTTTCGACATCAGACCGTGATGTCAGTGCTAAGACGCGCAGAAATCAACGGAATCGGAATGAACCTGAATTGTGTGGCTGCGGCTGTGACTGTGGCTGTGTCTCATTTAATGGATGGAAAGACGGATATGTACGAGTATGTATATATGTACTGGTATATGTATATATATGTCAGTGTTTAATGGCTGCAGTCGTCTGGTGGCGGCGCTCTTTAAGTGGCGACTCGCCATGTCGTCGACACCTTTTGCGCAACTTAATTGGAGCAAAGAGTGCGAAATTATTGTGGCGTGGCCCGGCACCGCGGCATCGCTTTCTACAACAGCCGTTTTCAAAAGACAATGATATTGAGTTTGTGTTGATTTTTTTCTGGTTGTTTGTTGTTTGCTGTGGGTTGTTGATGTTGATGGTTTTTGCGCCTCTGGGATTTCAAAGGCAGAGCGCTTGGCATATTAGATGGCCTAGACGCCGTAACCTTAATGCCATTGCCTAGTCGGTTAGTCGGGTTGGAGCCTAAGTAGGCGTTAAGCGGCAGTTACCGCAAATGGGTGACACGGTCCCATTTCGTAAATAGTGCACTCGAATAAAAAACAAAACAAAAAAAGAAAGAGAAAGAGTTGACCCCGTCAAGTTAATAAATAGTAGTAGCTTAGTACTTGTAATTACTTACTGATCAATAATAAACAATTCGTTCCAACAAAATCCTCATACTCTTCGTGCCAGGCACATTCTGCAATTCTGGGCCCGTTAAGTGGCCTTTCTAGCTTTCTCTTTTTGACAACTTGGAATTTGATCCTCAGAAACTTCCACATGTTCCTACCTTCGCGTTACTTGTATTTCAACAACCTGTTTTTTTTTTTTTTTTTTTTTGTTCAGATAATTCTCTGATTTTTAAAATTTTTGCTTACATTGCCAGACAGACTCCTTATCACGCCTACTATGATAATAATGTCCTGTTAAAATGCCTTTCACAATTGGATTAATTGATTAAGGAAGTTTTTCAACAATAAAAAATAGATGGGTTACTTTTGTGGTGGATACTTGGTAGATACTTCGATAACTGACAGTTCCAATATTTAGCTGTAAGTCAATTATTGCTTACAGCCGTTATTCAAAATTATGGTTCCAGTTCTATGTTGAGATAAGCTTGTCATATTTGGGTCAGCAATTAATGCCATCATCAGCAACTCGTTTTCCTTAACCCAAACACAAATGTGATATACTTGTACAAGTACGTAGAATGGCAGTGAGTCAGTCACAATCTGCTCCTTCAAAATAACTCGTGATTTTGAATACTACTCAATAGTGACAACGTTTTGAATTATGCAATGCTGGAATCGCTGACACTTGTCGTGTTTGGGGTGAAAGCTATTAGCTGATTGGAAATCTGTTGCTGCCATCTGTCTGGTATTCAGTCGGCCGTCGTATTGATACAGCTGCTACGTACGCTACAGAGAATCTAATGCTAATCAGTTGGGCAAATTGCGTTCTAAAGTTCCGCAAGATTGAATTGATTGGGACCACAAGAGCATTGGAGCTGCTGTGGGGGGACGAGGCAGCGGGGCAGCGATTAATGATGATCATTCTGGAGTATCTTTTTGTTCGTCCAGTACCGCCCACCCCCCCCGCCCGCCAGCACCCTCCTACTCTGTTGTGTATGGATGCTATTTTTATGAGTCTTCTATATTATAGTAGAGCTGATCTCGTGGTCTTGCTGCTTTCTTGTCCAATCAGCAAATTAACATGCATAATGAATTGCGTTCATGCTGAAACGAAAAGTTGTTGCCGCAGTTTCAACAGCTCGTTTCGAATCTCCATCTGAATCCAATCCGATCCGAGCATGCATATGTATATATTTTAATGTATATATATCTGTGTCTGTGCTTTAGTGGATATTTGCGTAGCTATGGAGTCTTGAGCAACGCAATATTTTTTGGGGTGTGCTTTTGTTTATTTGTTTATTTAATTAGTTTTTTTATTTTCTAACATTTGTGTTGTTCTTCTCTGCGTCAATGATCCTTTGCGGTTTTTCATTTTATCTCTTTTCTATTTGTGGCATATACTTGTATTATACGAAACAAGTATATTTCTGAATATAAATGAAACGAGATACTCGAACTTAATTATTGTTATGCTGCAAGTATAACTGCAATTTGGAATCTCAGAGAGAGCATGCGAGCTTCGACTTTTGCAAAGCCATTTCTATTTATGGGTTTTTAATAGACGGCAGCGCGCAATATGTGAACATTTTTTTTTAAAAACAAACCAAAATAAATTCAAAAAAGAAAAGAAATCATGCTGACATATTCGTTGACCCGAGATTTCGTAATTATCTTGTCATGCAGCTGTTTGTGTGAGCGTGGGATTGAATGTTTGCATAATTATCATTTTTATTGGGGGCCATGTGTATATAATTTGAGAAAAGTCTTCCTGCAATTTTCTCATTTATGGGTCTAATTTAAAAGAATTAGGAATGGTGCAGCTCCATTGGAACTGGGACCCCTCCATCACCTCCACTCATACATATGTACTTAACTATAATTGAACAAAAGTTTTTTCCAAACAGATACAGAGCGCGTCTTTATCTTTCTCGGTTAGTTGAGTGACAATATTTGAGATAAGTTTGTTATACAAGCACTAATAGGTAGCAATAACACTAGTATTTGCGTTACATTTTCAAAAACCTCAATTCATTGCTCTATTGATTTTGATAAGGTTTAGGGCCCTACTCGATTATCAACTAAAAGATTCCTCAACAAGTTAACAAAATTGATGAGCAGAAATTGCGTTGTACACGTATAGCTGTAACTGACTAGGGGTTCTTCATTTATTTATTCCCATACTTGTATATATATTTTTTGTTTTCTCAAGTGATGTGCAGAGCGTTGACAACAATGCACAGATATATAGACCGGTATATTAGTGCCTATTTTTCCACCTTGATAAAGATTAGTTGTTCTGAGTATAAAATTAAAATCACTTTTTGTTTGTCACAAAAATGCTAACACTTCCTTAAACTAAAGTGCTGATTACTTTCTGGGTGTTGACGGGGTGTGAAACCCCCATTACCAGCTAACTTTATCGGCCACAAAATGTTGACTTAAATTGTAGTTCTATATTTAATGTGTGTGTATAAAGTTTACTTTTGCGTGCTAATTGGTTATACATATACTTATAGTGAGCACTGTTGCCTCATTTCCCCTAAGTAGAGTACATATTGTGCTTCAAGTGATGCCAAATTTGTTTTAGTAAACATTTTGTTGTTTTTTTTTTGATTGTTTCTAAAAACGTTAAATTAAGATCGTCCTGCAGAGTATATAATATTTGGTATATGAAAAAGTAATCAATACAGCTTTAGTATATATTCTTTTTATACAGATAGGAATGAGTAGGAAAATTTCTGGTTGTTTTGATTTTCTATTTGCTGATGCAATAAATAAATAAAATAATAATACCTAGATGTACCTACATAGATGATGCAATAAGTGCTGAACAATTTATTTGACTAAATTAAGATCCGAATTTGAAATATGCTTTGTGTTAAATATATGTATATGTGGTGAGTGCCAGTGTGACTAAAAGGGAAGGAAACTGTAGACCACGACGAGGTAAAATATGTCCGAAATGGGTACGGCAGCAATTTATTTCGAGACACTGTGATTCATTGAGATACACATTGCATTTGGAAGGTGTTTTACTCGATATATTTTACGGCTGAGCTCACCACACCCACAAAAGGCGACCAGTCTAATATAATACAAGCTATACAAGTATATAGTACATGCTAGTAAGTATTATACAAAACCATATTGTTGAAACAACTCGAGAAATTTTAAAACTTTTGAATTCCTACGCAGAAAATACTATAGATCCATAAATGGATATATATTATTATTATTATTATTATTATTATTATTGTGTATTATCAAGAATCGTAGCATCGTGTGTGCGTGTCTGTGTGTGTGGGCCATATTTTTCAGATATAAGCCCACAATTGGATCGCACGCTGATGACGACGATCTGATGATTCATGTGCGCGCGCAACTTCTGCGGAATTTTATACGACGCCGACCATTCATATTGAAAGCAAATCAAAATGAATCAGCAACAGCACTTTTGGGGGCTACCGGCACACTTACGAAAGCATTTACAAATACACAAAGGGTATACACACTTATAGTGTATGTGTGTGTGTGTGTGTGTGTGTGTGTGTGTGTGTAACACTCACCTTCGTCGGATGAAGACACAAAACGACGTCCATAACTGCGCTCCAGCCAGGCATCGCCCGCACCGCCTCCAGCGGCTTTGGCGCCATTTGGTCCACTGTTGCGTTTCTGACCATTTGACGCATTAAAGGCGGCAGCGTCACGCTTGTTGTTGCTGTTGTTGTAACGCGTCTTGCGAGTCACTTGTTTGTTGTGCAGCTGTTGTTGCTGTTGTTGGTGTTGTTGCTGGTATGTGGAACTGGTCGTTGCTAAAGTGGCCAAATGACCATTGCCACCATATTTTTGTGCGCAGCGTTTGTTGCTGTTGTTGTTGGTATTGTTGCTGTTGTTGCTGTTGTTGCTACCAACAACGACTCCATCGGTGTCGCTGTTGTTGTTGCTGTTAAAGCGTTGCATGTTGTCAGCTGTGAACGAACAGAGCAGCAATTACACACACAATTAGTCTCGAGTTGATTGGCTGGTTAGTTAGTTATTTGGTTTGGTTTTGTTCGTTTATTAAAAGACACTCGACTTACAAGTCTTAAATAATTGCAAGAAAGCCTCCAATAGTAAATGCATGATGCTCTCATAGAAAATATATCAATCACAATACAAGTAACAATAAAATAAATAATAATAACAAAATATGCTATTCACGAGCACTCAACAAAAATTGTCTTAAAACTGAATGAACCGCCTGCACTTGCTGTTGAAAACGAACTAAGGCCCGCCATCAAATGTTTACGCTCTTTGTACGACACCCGGCGCTATAGACAACGTACGAAAGTTGCTTGGAACAAAAAAAAAAAAAAAAACCCAGTCATATATTGCTTTATTGTGCGATTAATATAGCCCCGCTATTGATGACGACAGAAAGCACTCTCTGAAAAAGCCACGACTCGACAACCCAGGAGACATATCGGTTGGTTGGTGAATCACCATCGCTCGAACCGCTCGAACTGCACGGATTGCTGATAAGTGCTGGCGATTTTGTCGTTATATTGAACCTACGCCAATCCGTCGTCGCACAACGACAAAAATTGGCAACCAGGCTTAAATATATATGTATGTATGTATGTATGCATATGCCCCCCACACACGTATGTATGTGGTGGCTTATCAGGTTGGCGGTCTTCCTATTTCGATTAGATTGTGGCCCATTATGGGACTCTTGATACACATTCAACAATCGCCCAATTGGCCGGAAGCTCTCGGGTTAGTGGGCGCGCACAAAGAAAAAAAACCTCACTCCAGTCTAGTCTTTCGCAGACCAGAATTTATTTTAATTAAACCCTGTCCCGAGTCAACACAAATTGCTTTTTAAAAATTCTATGATTAATGATTATTATTATTCTAAGAGAATTTTTATGGGTTACATTTTGGCAAAAAGTGGCTATCATTAAACAACAATTGCTTAGATTCTTCTACAATGCTTTCGACTGTTGGGGGAGTTCACATCTTATCGTCTTAAAGTCTTAGCGGTTTTAAATTTAGAAAGCAAAATAACGAATTTCGAGAAAGAAAAGAAACAAATTAGAATTGTTTATAAAGCAGCTCTGATGCTGATTATTTGAATTGTGCATTATTTATTTTTCTACTACTCTACTATTTAAATATTCGAAGAATGAAAATTATTTAAATGTGACATAACATTTATGGATTCTTATGAATATTTATAAATTCTTAAATAAATTTGCATCTCTAGTTACTTTAAAATTCTTCCCAGCTAGAGCTACCAAGAACAATCGCGCATCAATGAATAAGAAAAAACACTACAACAAATGCTTAAAACGTGTTAAATTTTGTTGCTTAAGTTGATAGCCAATTTAAAAAAAATTACACCTGTTAACTGGGGCTTAATACGAGTATTCAAAATATTTGCTTAATGAAAAGAAAAGACGAATCATTCCCAAGCGCATGATTTAAAAAACCTTAAATAAAATTTAATTATTATAACAAAGAAGCAGTAGTGTTGGTGGCGGCTGTGAAGCCACACCGAAAAACAGGTACCAGTTCGTGCCTAGCGCTAATCATACACACACACACACACACACACACACACATACAAATATATATATACATAGGTATATGTATATACATACATAGGTATATATATGTGTGCGCATTCTCCAGCCCGCTGTCAGCCACCGCCCAACGCATCCGAAAAAAACAAAAAAAAACAAAAACAAAATAACGATTCGGCGTATGCAAAAATCAAAATCAAATCCGAAAACAAATGCTTGCGGCCGGCCAATTACCGACGCGACTGACTGTTAAGGTGTGATTAATGGCCAGAAAGGCGGTGACCGCTTTACGCCTTAAGCTGTGCTTAGATAGCTAAATGACTTGCAGCAATTGCAGAAAATGTTTGTCGAAAAAGTTTGCTCTCCCAATCGCCGAGGATGGATAGCAAACAAAAAAATTAGCATAAGATACTACTACTATTCGCTTGCTTGGTTAAACAGTAAGCGCCACCAGGTAGTTAACCCAAGTTAACCCAACCGATCAGTTATATTGAAAACCTGCTCTGTTGAAATAAACTCTTGAATAATTTGGCTTCGATTCGCCTTAGAGCGCACGCAAATAACTGAAGAAAAGGTTGTGACACGACTCCGCTCGATTGCTCAACACCAATATATAGTATACTTGGCTGATCTACTATATTATGGTCAATAAATACCATGAAGGTAGCGGCGCCCCATGTGGTGACCCTGCTTCATTTTTGATTCGTCTAACTGACCTACGACTACACAGTGATGGCGAAGCAAAACATGTGATGACCCCGCCTCAAAAGCTGCACCATGCATCGATGGGGTCACATTTTTCGGATCAGTAATTAATTAAATGGTGGGGAAGTCGAGGTGATTCTGTTTAATTGCGCTGCTTAGATGTTTTAGTTTAAATGTTGCATCAGTCATGCGGTTGTCTGATCACACCCTTAATAAAATAAGTTGAAAGCGATTTCTGACAGCAGCAGCCTGTTTGAAAAATGCGCACAAATCGCACGATTGCCGTACAAATTGGCATAATTTGTAAAGTGTGATTTGTCGATTGCACTCGGCTCGCCATCACCGATGTCGCCACATCTCGACAGTGCAGTTGAAGATGATTCTGTTGCCGACTTGCGACTTGCGACACGTGTGCAAACCCGTCAGGTCGCTGCCAAAACGGAAATGCATCGGAAAAAGAGAAAAGGCAAAAACTGTAGCGCGTGTGCGGCTATTTTTGTGGCAACAACCTCATCATCATCATTATCATCAATACCATTAGTAGGCATGCTGATGATGATGATGACGACGACGCTAATCATCAGAGCAGTGCGCCACCGCTTTAATAATGAATGAACACACGAGTACTCGCACACATACATATATGTACATACATATATACATATATGTATATATATATGTAGTATTTATATTTTGGTGTAAGCCCCCAATTGTATTGATTGGCTTGGACATGGCAAAGCGAACGAACGCTCAAGAAAAACTGAGCGAAACAAACGAACCAAAAATACTCATTAAATTACGAAAGGGAAAAAAATAAAACTTTAAAGGAAGAGAGTGAAACCGATTTAGCGCTTGGCAACATAAAACTCTTAATGGGGCATGACGGGCTAGCCAGGGATCGTACGAAAGTGGAAACATCTGCGCATGCGCAGATGCTTCACACTCAGAAAAATAACGACAGCAAGCACAAGAACAACAACAACAACAAAAATTGGGCCCCTAATAAACCTTGTCACGGACGAGAGTCTGTTGAACCCTTACGTTTTTTTTTCTTTTTTGCCTCTTAGTCTGTTCTATGGAATTCCTTTGCTCTTTTCCGTTTAAAAACTTATGGTTTATGAACATTTGAACACAATGGCTGGAGCTTATAATTTAAGAGACGTTCACAAAAACTGGCTTAGGCTTAGAATTAAAGCCTGAGAAAAACTAGGGAGTTGTAAATAAATACACATTTCTGAATAAATTCAGTATTAAATTTTGATGTCAGCAAAAATAAAGCCATTGGAGCGATTACAAGTATATCCATATTGGAATCTTGTACTAGGTCTGGCTAATCGCTGAATATACTATAAGTATTGATTTCGCTGACTGATAAAACCAAAGCAATATTATTTCACATTGAACTTAAATGCTCACTAAAGTAACCATTTTGTAGAAACCATAATATAAACGAATTCTTGGAATATAGTATATACGGGCACATACTTAATTATGAGAACTAATCTTTCTCTAATCAGAAATCGATTTTGGTTACTGGGAGGCGGCTTCCGCTTTTTTTTACCAACGCACATATTTATGAGTCTTACAATCTGTAGATGTTGCACATCAATGTTGTAATGCGGTTTATGAACCGGAAATGTTAATGCGCCGTTAATTGTTATCGTATAATTGTGGTGGCCAGGCAATAAAAATAATCCCTTGAAAATTGAGCCATTCGTATTCAATTACGTGTCCCACACGCACACAGACGTATACGAATAATACGTATAAGTAGTATATAAGTAGTATTGTAAGCTTATATGCACATGTCGTCATAAAACTGAATAGGAAACTTGGGGCTGGTGTTGGGGTTGGGGTTGGTTAAACGACGCGTTGTCTCAATTCTTAAAAATATGACGTTCGTATTGAATTGAATTGTTTGTAGTAGTATGTGCTATGTGGAAAATTCAATGGCAGACACGCCAATAAAAGTTATAAAAAAAAAAACAAAATAAAGGAAGAAGCACGCGCAACTTGGCGCTATGACGTTAGCTAAGCAATTATTTATTTTATGCTTGACTGCTAATGGCGATGCCAAGAGTCAGTCGCAAGAGAGAGGGAGATGGTGAGAAACAGAGGGCAGTGGGGGGGGGGGGGGGGGGTATACATATAAGCCAATTTCACGTAATACTTTTCGATTACAATAAGCACACTGCGTGCGAATGGCTGATTGGTCATTTGACGGGTGAGAACGGTGCCGGGTGGTTGTGGGTTGGGGTTAGGGTTAGGTTTGGGGTTGGGGGAGTACAGTAGGTCGCGTCAATCAAGCGCGCCTCAATGCTTACGTTTATGTCGCTGCCATTGGACTTATAAATTGGTCTACATACTTATACTATGAATACGTATACATCGAATCGATAAACAATTCACTTCCTATGATGGCATTACACACATGGCGTATGTGTAATGCGCGTTCATTTTGAATTGCTTGACATGGCGCCAACTCGATCAATAGGCCCCATCAGCCCTTTAGCGTTATGTGAATGCTCAAGACCATATATAGCTTCTAAAAATATTTCATTTTAAATAAAAAAAAAACAAACATATGCAAATAATTTGTCCAATTTCAATTTGAATAAAGTGTTACTTCAATTAAAATCAATCAGTATTCCTCGAAACTTCTTTTAGCTTCAGTTTTTGCAAAACACAATTACTTT